TGATAGGAGTTGAATAGTGCTTTGTGTTGTAAAAGTCATCTAGACAATGTGCGTGCGTGTGTGTGTGTGTACGGGAGCATGCGTGTGTGTATATGTATGTGTGTGCGCGAGCATGGAAGCATGCTTGTGTGTGTGTGAGCATGCGTGTGTATATATATGTGTGTATAAGTGTGACAGCATGCTTGTGTGTGTGTGCGTGTGTGTGTGCATGGGAACATGATCACGTGTGTATGTGTATGTTCATGGGCAACACATAAAAAGACATCAGATCCCCTAGAGCTGAAATTATGGGAACTGCCAGAATAAGTTCTGGGAACTAAACTTCAGTCCTCTGGAAGAGCAGAGAGACACCTGAGCCATCTCTCGGCCCCTAAAGGATGACTTTATAAGAGCAACAGGATGTGCAGCTAAGCTGTCTACAGTATGGACTCGGAACATCCTGAAAATCTGACTGTCTTTATGGTCTATAAATTAGGACTGTTGGCCTGAGATAAGATTTCTAGTGACATATAATATATGGACTCAAAACTGGCTGTGTCCCAAAAAGCCCAGAAGGGAAGTTGCTGAGAGCCCCAGAAGGCATCTTTAGTGCTAATACACCATCTGTGTTAGAGAGGCAAGTAGCATTCAAAAACATCGTTTTGTGAAACAAAGAACTTTGTTTCATAGAGTGTTTTTTTGTCAGCGGGGCAGTGGTGGTGCATGCCTTTAATCCCAGGACTCAGAAGGTAGAAGCAGGCAGATCTCAGAGTTTGAGGCCAGTCTGGTCTACAGAGTGAGTTCCAAGCCAACCAGGACTACACTAAAAACAAAACAAAAATCAAGAATAGTTTTCATCCAAAAGCACTAGTTTACAATTTAAAATGTTTCACTATCAATCTAGGGCAACTGGCACGTTATTATAAGAATTTTGATTGTTTATCTTTAGTCTTTAAAAAGGATGTGTCTAGGTTGTCAAGACGTAGCAAGTGAGCAAAGGTGAACAGCCTGAAGGGTGAACTGAGACTTAGTGGGCCACACTTCAGTTTCCAAGACAAGAAGAGTCTTCTTCTTTTTTAAAAATTTTGTGTTCATTTTTGGTTTGGTTTTCTTGGTTTGTTTTTTGTTTTTCTTTTAAATTTGGTTTTGATTTGGGGGGTTTTCTGGGGCAGAGGTCATATTCAAGAAGACAGTGAGAAAAGGAGGATCAGAATGCAGGATGTGAAATCCATAAAAGTAATCAATAAAAGAATAAATAAAAATAAAAATTTTTTTAAAGGAAAGATATTGCATATGAAGGACTAAAGAGATGGCTCAGTGGTTAAGGCAACTTGTTCCTACAGAAGAGTGCAGTTCCCAGCACCACTGTGGTGGTTCATAACCACTCGTCACTCTAGTTTCAGGGGGCCCAACACCCTCTACTGACTTCTGAGGGCACTGTATGCACACGATGTGTATGTACATATATATATGGCTAAAACATTCACACACATAAATACAATAAATTAGTCTATGTTTTAATTTTTTATTTTAAAACTGTTACCTGAGATTTCTGTCCCACCCAGTCCTGCAGCCATTCAGTTCCCCCCCCCCCAAAAAACACAGAGAAGTCTACATTAATTATAAACTGGTTGGCCTATTAGCTCAGGCTTCTTATTAACTCTTACATCATAAATTAGCTCATGATTCTTGTCTGTTAGCCACGTGACTTAGTACCTTTTATCAGTGGGGCAGTTTCGTCTTTCTTCCTCTGTGTCTGGGTGATGACTGCAGACTGAGCCTTCCCTCTTCCCAGAATTCTCCTGTTCTGGTGGCCCCACCTATACTTCCTGCCTGGTTACTGGCCAATCAGCATTTTATTAAACCAGTATGAGTTTTAAATCTTTACAGGGTACAAGACCATTGTCCCACAACATAAAAGGAAATTTCAGGTGAGGATCCTGCTGTTAGGAAAATGAGAACCTTCTATGAGGGTTGTCTACATGTCTACATGTGACCAATGTAATAAGTAAAGACATGGATTGGAGCAACCAGTTTGCTTTGACATTTATTGATCTTTTATTAAATAGTCATTTATCCAACACATTGATTGTTTACCAACCTATTTATAAAATTTGGAAGCCAGCAGGTGGGGAACACAGGTGATAGGGTGTCACCCCAAGTGGTAGCTCATGTCTAGGTTGGAAGAGGTTCATGGTAGCAAGAGAATAAATAATAAATAATGAAGTGCTGACAGCCGACAAGCTCATCTGTGGTGTATGGAGGTCAATCCTGAGAAAACCCGAGGACATTTCACTGCCTGGTGACCCATGAGTCAAACATGGAGAGCTGAATACCATCTTGATTAATATAGAACGTAGGCCTTGGAGGCCATGGAACCAGCATGGTCAAAGTCACCCAATTGCAAAACAATCTCAGTACTTCAGACTCCATGGTGAGCTTAGGGTAAATGTGAGGACATCTTTATTGGAGAGATGGCCAGTGGTCAGCCATGGAGGGGTGTGAATCTAGCATTTATTCAGTGAGGCCATCAACAGACCACAAGCAGGCAAAGGAGCTGCACATAGGGCATTCGGCAGCACCTGGGAGAGGCTAGGCGCCAAAGACCTGGGCTGCAAAAGTGGTTGCAGCCATGGAAGCAGCGAGGAAGCAGAGACAGGAAAAGGAAGTTTGTGCATTGCTGAATGCAGCCAGGATGCAGAGGGTGGATGGAAACGGGTTTGCAGTTACTGGTGTTGGTGTGGAGGACTAGGGTGACCTTGGCCTTGGAAGGCTCGAGAGGGAGACGCTGAGCTGGAGTCTGGACAAGCTGGATTGGATGGGAGTCACAGACAGTCATGTCAGGTCATAATAAAACAGGCTCTAAAATTTCGAGTTCCTCTGTGCCACGGGTGCCTTTGTGTCCTGGCATACATTTGCTGCCCACTTGCTGGCCAAGCAGGAGATGGTGGAAGGAAGACAGGAGGGGCCTGCCTCTGAGATTCATTCTCAGCTTTGTCTGGCTATCTGTGAATGCAGAGTCACGTATTGGCATATGCTGACCCACATCTGTGGGGGACAGAGCTGCTGACCTGATGTTTCTCTGTCTCTCTCTAGCTGCCTGAGAGGAGGCAGGAGTAGAGTTAGCTAGCACTGAGTCCTTGCAGGGTCTCTGTCTATAAACTTTAGTGATCCTCCCCCACAAGTCTTACCTACTTTGCAGGATGATGGTGGGGACCAAATGAGATGACAGTTTGCAAAATGCTGGGCTCCCCGCCTGGCCTGTCATAGGCACGAAATCAACACTCGTGCCCTTCCCACTTCTTTTCTTAATTACATTAGAAAATTTATTGTATGTATTAGTATATGTATGTATGTATGCCTGTATTTTTGTATATGTATGTATTAATGTGTCTGTGTATTTGTGCATCTGTATGTATTTGTGTGTACATGTATGTGTTTGTATGTATAAGTGTGTGTTTGTATGTATGTGTGTATGTATATATTTGTGTGTGTATGTATTTGTATGTATTTAGGTAATTGTGTGTGTATGCATGTATGTGTGTATATGCATGTGTGTCTGATTGTGTGTGTGTGTATGATGTATGTATGTGTATGTGTGTGTATATGTAAGCACAGATGTGGGGGTGAGAGGACAATTTGTGGGCGTTGGTTTCCTTCTACCACATGGGTCTTGGGGTTGGTTAGAGCTCAGATTGTCAGGTTTGACAGTGAGTGCCTTTACCCACTGTGACATTTTCCCCAGCCCCCGACTTCCTTTTCTTATGTGAACAGGGATTAACTTTGCCTGTAGATTTCTTCAGTAAAGCAGGGTTCTCCCGGTCTTGTTTAGGTAGAGACACCACTTTCATGTCTTGTTCTTATGGGTAATTAAAGCCGCGTGAGTGTGTGTGTGTGTGTGTGTGTGTGTGTGTGTGTTGCTACACACAAGAGAAGTCACGTGAACGTCAGGAGCCAGATCTCTCAGCTCACGGCCCCAGCAAGTTCTCCTGGCTCCGGAGGGATCCCGCTTGCCTGACGAGTTGGAATGGTCAGGTCAGAAGAACCTCAGCTCCCAGCGGCCTTTTTCCTCTGCCCCAGCTTCTTAGAAAAGCCACATGAAAGAACTCATTGTTCCATGGACAGACGAAAAAGGGCTAAAACAAAAGTCAAAGCGCTTGTATTATTTCTAAAACATTCTTTCTGTGCTCCCTGATGTCACTGAAGCCGCTCAGAGCGAATGGACCTCTATTTCACACACAGCCGTTCTCATTTGCCCAGAGTTGAAAGGACTGTTCTCAAAAGCCACTTCATTTTCCAGAGATGATGCATAGTCTTCAGAGGCCAACAGCTATAAATGCCAAACCAAGAAACCACCATTGACCTGAGGACAGGAGTCAGCTTTTTGTATAAAAAACTGCATTGTCTGATACTAATAATACCATTATTGTGTATTTATAGAGTATTCTTTCTGTTTTTATTAGCACATATTAATTATGGATAGGAATGGGTTCACTGAGACTTTTCATACACATATCCAATATTTTTGGACTGCATTTGCCCCCATTGCTCTCTTGTTCCCTTCCCGCTTGTCCCCTTCCTCTTCCTACTAATTCCTCTTCTACTCTCAGGTCTTAAAATCTTTAATGGGGTTCACAGGGACATGGAGGGGAGCCTTGTAAAGTCGGTTCTTCCCGACCAGATCTCCAGGCTTGAGAGCAAGCAGTTGTATTTTCTGATCCATCTCACTGGCCTTCGTGGTTCTTCCTCTCCCTCCCTCTCCCCCTCCTTCTCTCTCTCTCTCTCTCTCTCTCTCTCTCTCTGGGTTGTGTTGTGGGTTCTAATGATGTATACAGGAATATGGGCAGCTTACCATGACTGCACCACTGGAAAAAAGTCTCCCCGTCTCCTAATAACCATAGCTTCCTAGAGACCCTGGGGAGGGACAAGGCCTGGAACCTGGTCTCCCCTCCGCAGGGGAATGTTAACAGGCCCACCCAACCTGCCCAGAAGACAGTGTTCCACAACATTCCACCCCTTCCTCCAGCTCTTTGATGCCATTCCTTTATTTTTTAATGACTTTTTGAAGTTTACCTTACAGTACAATTCATTAATTTTAAAGGTTACAACTTGATAAATTTCATCCAATACATCGCTCCACCATAACCATAATGTCAGCACTTCCATAGCTTCCCTTTGGCCCCTCCACAGCTGATTCCTTCTTCTTCTTTTTTTTTTTAATCACAATCTTCTAGAACCATTGATCTGCTTCCTGCCATGTAATTTTGCCTTTTGTTGAATTTCATATAATCAGAAGAATTCAGAACATAGTGTTTTTTTGTGTCTGGTTGCTTTCATTTGGTGTGATTCTGAGATTCATCTAGCAGATCACTCCTCTGATAACTTAGTGGGAGTCCATTGTACGGATGTCCCATAATTTGTTTCCCATTCATCAGCTGCTGGTGATTGGATTGTTTCCAGTGTTCAGCTTTTAAAAATGCAGCCTCCGTAGGCATCTAAGAAATAGTTATTGTGTGAATGCATGCTCTTGTGTTTGAGTAAGTATCCAGGATCTGGGCTGATAGACAATACACTGAATTTTCCTGGGGTCGATTTTCCTGGATTTTTGAGAGTATGGGATTTCCCTGAAAGCGTGGGTAAATAGAGACAATGGGTCATTTTGTGCTGTGGTATTTTGATGAGGTGTGACTTTGTGAGAAGCTGCCAAATTATGTTCTAAAGGGACACACCTTGCATTTTTACCAACAAAATAGGTGGTTTCCAACAAGGAAGGGGAAGGCTCTTCCCTGAGGAAGATCATTTCTCACTCTCAGCATTTCCCAGTTGCTCGTCGGTCTTTGTCTAGGGTTTAGGCTCGGGCCCCCCCCCCCCCCCATGAGCTTTCCCCGGTCGTGTTAGAGCGCCCACTGTTGGTGGTGTTCAGGTTTTGTTTAGGAAGCCATGACATTTCATGGGTGTTGTCTCTCTAGCAGCATTCTTAGCAGTCACAACCGCATGGCGACCTTCCTGTCTTTCTTTGACCGTCTTTTCACTCAGTCTTCCACAGTGACTCCTGAGCCTGCTGTGTGAGAATACGTCGTACGTGTGCCAGCTGGACTGGCCGCCACACAGCTCCTGATCTCTTAGTTGCGGTTTTCTGTAGTGGTCTCTTGCAAAGACAAGTTTCTTTGGTACAGGTTGAGAACCATACTTATCTGTGAATATAAGAATAAAAATTTAGAGTATAGTTAGGAATTGTGCTGGTTTAGTAAAGTTGTGTTTAAACCATTTTAATCTTAGAGCTACACCAGACGTGGAGGTACATTCCTTTCATCCCAGCACTTGAGGTATTTTTTGAGTCAGGGTTTCACTGTAGCTTTGGAGACTGTCCTGGAACTAGCTCTTGTAAGCCAGTCTGGCCTCGCACTCACAGAGATCCTCCTGCCTCTGCCTCTCGAGTGCTGGGATTAAAGGTGTGCGCCACCACCGCCCAGCTTCGTCCTAGCACTTGAGGGGCAGAGGTAGGAGTATGTCTGTGAGTTAGAGGCCAGCTGGAATTATACAGTGAGACCCTGCCTCAAAAAGCAAATTCTGTAAACCATAGATCAACATGTATCTATATTGCATTGGCTCAAATGCAGAACAGTAAGAATCACAACAGAACAGCTGGTGGGATGGCTCAGTGGGTAAAGGGCTTGCCTGGTAACCTGAATTCACTTCGGATTTTATTTATTTATGGGACAAAACAGATTGAACTGGAGGACGTTCTACCACATGAGGCAAATCAGACACAGGAAGATAAAATAATAGTAAATCACTTATAGATGGTGTCATACATTTAGAGCACCGTATCAAATTGTGTGATTAATATCAAGAAATTATGAAAGTAAGTAGTAGGAAGAGGGAAGGCTGGAGAGATGGCTCAGCAGTTCAGAGAACTGGCAGAGGACCAGGGTTCAGTTCCCTGCTCCCACATGGAGGCTCACAGCTTAGCTCTGCAAGAAATCTCACTTGCCTCTCTTGTGTTGTGTTGTAGCCACACCCCTGCTCCTCTTGAAGATGGAGAAGATGCTGCTTGGATGCTTGCTAATGCTTGGGCAGTTCTCCCTCCTGCCGGCTGGAGCCAGATTTCCCTCCAGAGGCCGTCATGTCCGAACACATCCCCAGACGGCACTGCTGGGTGAGTGAGGGGCACCCGCAGCAGCAGGCAGCGGTGTGGGTCCGGGAAGGCCCTGGACCAGAGGACCTGGGTTGGGGAGGCTCCTGCCTCTGGGTCCTCTGCTAACTGGGCTGGGCACTCGGGGAATCCCACGGGTGACTGGCACATCTGGACTGAGGATGCAAAGTATCCAGGTTTTCAAATTACAACTAAACTTCTTCTATTTTAAACCCTTGGGTCTAAGGTGGGCTCATGACTTTGCTCCAATACACAGGGCAAAAGGTTTTCTGCTGAAAATGTCCCTACTGAACTCACCTGGATGGGGCGTTATGGGGAAAAAACTGTATTAAACTAAAGAACCTTGTTCTGATAGAGCAGAACTGTCACAAGCCTTATTCCTGAGCGGGCATTCTGCCCTTACTTAGAGGTCTGCAAGTAAATACTCAGGATGACCACAGTGTTTGTTCTAGGAACAAGTTTATTATGCCAATAGTCAAATCTCCAATTGTTAGCAGGTATGGGCAAACATCAAAACTATAAAAATCATTTAAATCTCTAATTATTCCTATGGCAGATATAAGTAAACATCAAACCTATAACAATCCTAGTCAATCAATCACATCACACATTCAATCACGTCACACATTCAGCAAGGGTTCCTATGTCCTAGGCAAGGTCTTCTATCCTATCTTACTGAGGCATTGGTGTATACGACCTGATAATGGTCCGTGGCTCTCGATGTAAGCCTCTGGATCAGCAAGTGTTGATCCGCAGGCAAGAGCTAGTTCTCTGGCTCTTGAACGGTCTCAGCTGTCAAGTTGCTGGTTCGTTGGATTCTCTATGACCGCTCTGACAGCATGTCTAGCAAGTCATTTTGAGAATGTCTTCTGGCCGTGAGCCTCAATTTTTATACTGTCTGTGGATACATTACTTTTTTATTTCTAGATTAGCACACATGTCTGCTTCTCATATAGTTACGTCACACTTGTTCATTCAGCTCAAACTCTTATCACCACTGCACACATTGCTTCATGCTTTTTAGTTTCATTTTGTGTGTCACTTAATATTGCATCTTAACAAACAAGGATTTGTTTGTCTTTGCAAACTCATAACATTTCACTTAATATTGCCTCTTAATACTCCTGGACTTGTTTGTCCTTACAGACTCAAAACAAGAACCTGTACTGATGCTGACTAACAGTGACCCTGACTTTATTCTCCTGAGAGTCCCGGTTCGTAGTGTCATAAACACAAGACTTGTTCATACATTGAAAAGAGCCAAGGAAATGTTTAACACATTGGCTAAAGGGTTAAAGAAAACCATGTCAAGATGTTTATATGATTAGCACTGTGTATGTTTATATGATTAGCATTGTGTATGTTTAACTGAACGTATCTTGATGCTTCCTACTTCACCATCTGTGATCGCATAGTTGGGTTTATTTTACTTTTTTATGATGTTAGGGGTGGAACCCAGAGTCTTTCCCATATTAGGGGAGCACTACACTTCAGACAAGGAGAAGCCATGTCTGAAGCCCCCACAAGGAGTTTTTGATAAAGGCTGGTTTGGGGGATGAGCCATCCCTGAATTAACTAGAAAAGCATAAGCCTTCTCTTTTTTTTCCTTTTGGCTCCAAGTCTGTCTATCTTTCTGTTTCTCATACACACACACACACACACACACACACACACACACACACATACACACACACACACTCACCAGTCTCTGAATTAGTAACTATAAAACTTCTGAGGCAAGAGGTAGACACCTATTTTGCCAAAAGGCATTGTTCCCCATGTGATGGTTTGAATGAGAATGGCCCTCTTTGGCTCATACATTTGCACATTCAGTCCCCAGTTGGTGAATTGTTTGAGAAGGATTAGAAGGATTAGGAGGTAAGTCCTTGTTGGAGGGGTTGTATCCTTGTTGGAGCTGGTGTGGCCTTGGACCCTTCCAAGCCTTGTTGGAGGAAGTGTGCCCTCACTGGAGGAGGTGTGACCTTGTTGTAGGAAGTGTGCCCTCGTTGGAGGAGGTGTGTCACTGGGGTGGGCTTTGAGGTTTCAAAGGCCCACACCATTCCCAGTTAACTCTCTTTCTCTGCCTCTTGCTGTGGATCACATTAAGCTATTGCTCCAGTGACATCTTGTCGATGTCATGCTCCCCACCATGATGGTCACGGACTAACACTCTGAAACTGTAAGCAAGTCCCCAGTTAGAGTTGCCTTGGCCCCGCTATGTCTTCACAGCCATAGAACAGTTACTACGACACCCCACAACTAGCATCACCCTCTCTTCCTCAGTTTACCGGGGAATGTGCTAGGGACAAAGGAAAGAGGCCTGGATACGGCATGCTATGTGTCGTTGCTTTTCTGCTCCCCGAGCCTGGCACACTGATGTCCCTAGACTTGCAGAACGGTAGCTTTGCTCACAAAGGGGGCTGAAGGACAGCCATGAAACTGGGCAGCAAACATGGCAACTCTGGCCAGGGTTCTGGGTGGCAGTCTGCTTTGGATGGCACTTTGAAGGGAACCAGGGTGGAGACGCCACACTTGTTGGCTGGCCTTAGTCCAGTGGTGTGACTGTCTCCTCACAATAGGGTATCTTGTGTTTTATATGTGTTTGTTTTTCTTTCTATGTTCAGAACTCTGTCCAGGCCACACTGCAGCCCTGGAACAAGTTACTCTGGCCACATTTATGGCATCTCTCAGCATGATGTAGTCCCTGGTTATTTGCTTACAGGAGTTTCTCTGAACTTTGAGTAGAAGCAAAATTGTCTCTTAGGTTATTTTATTTTTTTTAGAGATAGGGTCTCAGTCCATAGCTGTCTCTGGTCTGGAATTCTCTATGTAGACCAGGCTGGCCCCAAATTCCAGAGATATGCCTGTATTGACCTCCTGAATGCTGGGACTGAAGGCATGTGCCACCATGCCCAGCCTATTTAGGTTAAATTTTTGTTTGAAACTTTTAGGTTTATTATTATTTTGTTTTTGTTTTTATTGTTTTGTTTTGTTTTATTTTGTTTTTTTTGAGACAGGATTCTCTGTGCAGACTTGGCTGTTCCTGGAACTCACTCTGTAGACCAGGCTGGCCTCGAACTTTCATAGAGATCCATCTGCTTTTGCCTCCTGAGTGCTGGGATTAAAGGAGTGCACCACCATGCACTAAAAAGAAAAAGTATAAAAGCCCTGTGTGTGTGCTTTTTATATCTGTATTAAAATCAGAGTCACAGTAACAAATGGGGCTGGGGAGATGGTTCAGTTGGTAAAGCGCTTGCTGAACAGTACGAGGTCATGGGTTCGATCCCAAGAACTCACGTTTAAAAACGTGGGCTAGTAAGTGCACTAGAGGAGAGGTGGAGATTGGAGAGACCACAGGCTCAATGGCTAGCCAGTCTAACCCACTTGGTCAGCTTCAGCGAGTCAGAGAGTGTCTCAAAGGAAGAAAGTGGATGAAATTATGAGGAGCAACACCTAATGTTGACCTCTGGTCTACACACACATGCACACCCATTTACCTAAACATAAATAAACATATATGCACACATATGCCCTCATAATATATAAAATATACATATACAAAAATGCATGTTTATACCCATTCCTCCTGTCAGTGTTTGTAGGTCATCCACTCTATCTAATGGCTTATTTTTTCCCCTTATCCATTCATGGGATTTCTACTCTGGGACAGAGACAGATACAGGGTGGAAGGCTTACGATCAATAAGATCAATAGCCTCCATGAAGGGTGTGCAGTGAGGTGCTGGAGAACAGGTTATAGAAAGACCAATAATCTGGAGGAATCAGTGTGCAACTGTGCAGGCATCTCCAAATTAACCAGTCTGCCGGCTGAGCATGATCTCTCCAGCTTTTCGATCCCAGGTATCTTCCTTACACACTCAGGAATAACCTGCAAATCTCAAAGAGCTTCTTGTGAGCTAGAAATATTATGACTTACTGCACCAGGAATTAAAGTGAAGAACTTAAAAGATATTGGTTAACAAAAAAACAATAATAAATCCATACTATGTTGATATAAGCTATTTTATTAAAATTTATTTTATCAAGCTAGGCAGTGGTGGCACAGGTCTTTAATACTCAGCACTGGGGAGGCATAGGCAGGGGGATCTCAGAGTTTGAGGCCAGCCTTGTCTACAGAGTGAGTTCTAGAACAACCAGCGTTACACAGAGAGACAAAAAAATTATTTTCATCAATAATAAAAATCATTGAAAATGGTATTTCTGTCTTAAATTTTGCAAATCTGTTTAGTGTCTGCTTTGATATAACATTCCTGGATGCCTGCATTTCATTCTTTCAATCTGTGATGATTTTGGGGGCTTTGGGTAATGCTGGGGATTGAACACTGAGCCCTGGGCATGCTAGGCAATTGCTTTACCACCGAGCTGTCTTTCTAGCCATGGGATGTTTTGATTGGGCCATACCTAGATCCCACATAGATACACTGTTGCATGTAGTTGGAGAAATGAGAGGCATCTTGTAGCAGTCTTCTCAAGTGAGTCTTCTTTGACACGGCATGAGACAGAACTTTCTTGAAATTTGCCATAGTGTGGAATCTAAAACCACACCAGTTGACATGTGTTTGTTATATACACAAGTGAAAGTCTGTGAGAATGAAAGGTGAACATGTTTGTTATGAACACAGGCCTGACCTCATGCATCTTCTGAAGGAGTCCCAGGAAACCTTGAGGTCCCCAAACCACTTTCAAGATAGCGGTTTAAGGGAACACTACTTGTGAAGGTCATAACCATGGAGAGCCCCAGGGTTGAACAGGCAGCTCAGATGGCGCTCAGAGGCGAACTTGGACGAACGTTGGCCTGAAGATGGTGGGGGATCTGGAAAGGAAACAAACCAAGAAGAGCAGGGAACTAATGATTTAGAAGTTCAGGGCCTTTTAGGACAAGTCTGAGCCTTTAAACAGACAGTAACTGTGATCCTTTTGACTTTGTGTCTGAGGGGCCTTCTAGACCACCTCAGCCTTTCTGGGTAGGCAAAAGTCAGGGTCTAACTAGACATCTGACTTGCAGGTGCCATCCAGAGCAATTCTGTAGGTCAATAGGAGAACCAGTGAGCACTGATTACCCAGGCTGAGTCCCTTCCAGGCCATGGCATGTAGAGTCAGAGCAGCTTTTCTGCTTCTTCCCGTTTTACCTACAGCACACACCCCCTTGCCAGCTCCTTCCCAGGCTCCTCAAGGCAATGCTAGCTGCAAGACACACTGTCCTGCCCACAGATGCTGCCACATCATCCGTGCACATTTGTTTTCTTTTATGCATCACTGTTCTATGGGGGTGGTGGGGGTTGGGGTACCATTTCCAAGGCAACCAATACAGCCTAACAGCCTTTGTAGAAACCCTCGCTGTTCTTGCTCACATATTCTTGATGTCTTCATTCCTGAGAGTGATCTCTTTTTTTGCATTTTTAATTGTTTTTATTGAGTTATACATTTTCTCTGCTTCCCTCCCTTCCTCCCCTCTCTCCTTCTACCCTCTCCCATAACCCCCACACTTACAATTTACTCTCCTGAGTAAAATCTTGTGTAAATCTCTGTATGTCTCTCTTTATTGTCTAGGTTCTCTGGGGTTGTGGACAGTAGACTGTTTTTTTTTGTTTTGTTTTGTTTTTGCCTTATGTCTAAAACCCACTTATGAGTGAGTACATATTATTTTATTTGTCTTTCTGGGTCTGGGTTACCTCACTCAATGTTTTTTTCCTAGATCCATCCATTTGCCTGCAAATTTCAAGATGTCATTATTGTTTTACCGCGGAGTAGTGCTCCATTGTGTAAATTTTCTTTATCCATTTTTTCTTTTTCACATTTTCTTTATCACATTTTCTTTATCCATTCTTTGGTTGAGGGGCATTTAGGTTGTTTCCAAGTCCAGACTATTATGAATAAT